AGTTATTTACTAATTCCTTTTTAACATTAGCAAAGTCAAAAATACTACGTTGAACTGTTGGCTTTGCGGAAATGACAACTGGAAGGCGACAATGGATTAATGCATGATCACTTGCAAAGAGGTCATGATAAAAATCCATAGACAAAGGGAAGGTGCCATTAGTAAAAATTAAGTCTAAAACCCTATCGTTTCTGGTCGAAGAGTGAACTAATTGAGTCAGGTTTGAAAAGTAAATTGTGTCAAGCAGCTTCTGGAATTTAAGAGGAGAAGTATGTGTGTGCCAGTCAATTTCTGGCAAATTAAAATCGCCTACGATTATCTTGACATCGAAAGAAGTTTCTGCAATTTTTTCAAATATTTCTCCCTGTGGGACGTAACTGTAACGATTTGACGTTTTTGTCCGTCTCATAGCCCGGGACCCGATGGTGTCCCAGTTGTCATTTTAAGAGTGGATGCATATGAAATTTGCCCGGCCCTCCTGTGCAAGATATTTAATCTCGCTCTTAGGGGTGAAGTCTGTCCTACTTTGTGGAAGGAATCACACATTCCGACCATTCCCAAGAACGATCACACTGAGTAATTTGACGACTTTCGACCAATGAACACCCTCCCCACAGATTCGAAAATCTTAGAGACAGTGATCAAGGATAAGATAATGCGTCACTTAACAGAGAATAACCTACTGAATGCTGTTTAGCATGGATTCCTCAAAGTTCGATCTTGTGACACCTGCCAGCTTTCTCTCTTTTATCATGTTCTCCAGTCTAAGGACAATGATTTCACACTTTAAAGAGCCTATTTCAATTTCACTAAGGATTTTGATCGTATGGACTAATCTCTCATCCTCTTGAAACTTTCCTCTTTCGGAATAGGTGGTAAACTTCTGAATAGAACATCCCCTTACTTTGGCCCCGCACACAGCGGTTTAAGATTTCCAATGTCATCTCCATCCCCACATGCGTGAGTAGTGTAGTCATTCAGGGTAGTGTACTCGGCCCGCTATTATTTTGTCCTCTTGTCAACGACGTGCAGAGATTTATTTCAGGCTGGTAAGCCTTTTATGTATGCCGATGGTGTGAAGATCGCATATCAATATAAGCCGGCAGATCACGACATCATGCCCGAACTCCTAAATTGGGGACCTAGAGGTCTTTGCTTAGTGGTGCTGCATATGTATGACGCTTTTCTCTTTCTTGGCATAAATGTTCATTCAGAATGATTGGCAAGGACCATCAACCTCAACTAAATATTGAAGGTCACTACATGAATGTGCCTGAATTATTAAGGATCTAAGCGTATCAAACTCCAAGAATCTCAATCATTCGGAGCACTGTGCCTTTATAGTCTCCAATGCATGCAGAACAGCCGGGTTTATCCACCGAAATTTTTAAGATATGCCATTATAAAATGTACGTTAGATCTGGATTGGAATGCTGTCCGTTTAATTTTGCCACATTCGCGCTGATGAGGGAAAAACATAGAATCCGTCCAACATGTTTTTACCAAAACAAATTTAACCTCGGTACACGGAAATCTGCCTTACCAAGAACGTTGGGGCTTATAGGCATTGATCCTTTGTGGTCCCGTCGATTATAAAAAAAGCTCTTTGTAGAGTCTAGGCCTTTAAACAATTATACTTTTAATCCGCTTACTACTTTAAAGGCTCTTGACTATCCCCAACGCAACAGCCACCGTGAGTCCTTTTTATTTCTTCCCCTGGTACGTACCGCTGAATATCGTCAGTTCTTTTCTGTGAACACAATGGCATTCCTGGACGAGTTACTCAGAAATGTGAAAATTCTGCAAAATTGCTCTTTGTTTAAAGCAAGTACTCCACGATTTTGCATTTAGAAAGAATCTCCAATTACTCTTCCGCAGTGATGGAGTTCGTGGTCTCTACTGCCTCTGCCTGGTCTCATCCTGTGTGAAATGGTGCTGACTCTGAAGCTCGCAACATTACAGACGATTTTTTAGCCGAAAACGAGTACCTGTTCTTCCATGCACTCTGTTTGCCGCCGTCCTTATTCTATGAAGAGAAACTGAGACTGAAGACATCCGATGCAATGGTAATCCTCTCCTTTCTGGGCTGCCGTCATTTCACGGGCTGAAGTTTTTTTTCCTACATCACCTAAACTATCCAAAAGCAATAGCATCTATACTTAATTTATCAGGAGTCTTTTTTCGCCCGATCCGTACTGCATCGTTTTTGACAATCCCTGTAAACTGCCATTAATTTTTTTTATTAATATGATTGATTTTAAGAATGCAAACGACATAGACAATAATGGTCGCATGAGCGGCGAGAAAATTAACAGGATTTCAAAACTCTGTTATGAAAAGTTCTCAAAGTATTCCCGTCCGCCGATTATTTCGCTTTTCGCATAAGACCCTCTCGATAATAGTATTCACAAGTATCAAATTGGAAATTTTTACAAAAATTTGTGAGATATGCACGAAGAGGCGAAAAAAGTCCCGAGGAAACCGTTACTTCCGGAAGATCTTCAGGAGAAAAGAAACTACTGAGAGAATAGATATGGAGAAGAAGAGTAGGTTCTTCACGAGGGTAGGACAAAAGTCTGGAGTTTTTAGATGGTGGCAGACCCAGGGTGGGACTGAAACTGGGGGTGAGAGCTCGACATCCTCATAAAGGTCAGTGGTAAGCACAGCAAGGGGGGCTAATAGCGTTCACGTCAGCATGGCCCGATTACATCTCTGCGAGATTAATTTGGGAAAACATTGCGTTTCGTGAAGGACAAGGTGCATGGACGGGACTGATCTGCATGCGTTAGTGCACAAGGGATTCGAAACGGTCATCTTCAAGGCAGAATTAATACACCGGATAAGGCTATTCACATCAAAGTGGCGAGGAACCCAGGCGCGATCGGTCACAGTCCGCTTAGAGTCCAGCCGAGGACGGAGAAAGGGAGATACGACCATGGAATCTCTTTGCGGAGCGACAAAAATACTAGCAGATGGCGAAAACAGAGGATTCCACCATGAGCGTCGACAGACCGCTTGGGGTCGAAATAAGTAGATGACATCAGGAACCCTGAACACCATCGCTGCAGGGAAGGAGTAAGAACAGGGGGTTAATTAGACAATTCAAGACAGGGTTTTGTAAAAATATAAGTAAGGGATTCCACTTGATCTGTCACTAAATCCCAGGGTGCCCTTTTCAAATTCAAGGAGTTGAGTGCTCGGTAATTTAACGGTCAATAGCGCTTTTATGCTTTCTGGCGTAAGGTGCTTCCTCAATTTCGACTTGAATACCGATACCTTAGGCGATGACCTAATTTATGGAGGAAGATTATTCCAAAAAACAAAAAAGACGGAAAGTTTACATGTAGTGTAAAGAGGCGGCGGAATCATCATGCATGATGATTCCGCCGCCTCTTTACACTACATGGAGTTAAGCGTGGCGTAAGACCGATCTCTCGGATTGCAAGTGTCAATGCGCGAATGACTGGAGCTAGAGTTAATGCAAACAAGACGGTAATGGTCAGCTTCGAGTCTTCTAATACATAAAAATTTTAATTTTGTCCAGCTGACATCTCTATGTATAAGAAATACGGGATGCAGCTTGAGGGAATAGTTTCCGAGTGAAAACCGTCTGAAAATTGCCGATTTTATTACAGTCACTGGAGTTAATCAAACCAAAGAAAGGACAGCAGTACCCGAGGACAGAAAGAATATACATTTCAAGACGACTTAGCTTCATTTCCAGAAGGACGTTCGCAAGCACTCTTTTCCACAGCGAGTCGTCGGTACCTGGAACGGGCTTCCCGAGGACGTGATAATGGCGGATTCCACAAAGATATTTAAACAAATATTATATGTATATTTGCCTGAAAAATGCCGCTTTTCTGGACAGAGCAGCTCTGTCATACCAAACCAACGCCTTGCATGCACTTACCGCTAATACAGATGATTGCAATTTAATTTTACCATTGTCACATACAACTAAGTGCCCTCGAGTTATGGTCCTACATTTTAAAAGACGATCTTTTGTAAAATGTACACATTACTGTCAACACTTTAACACCGTGTTTGTTTAAACTTAGATATTGCATGTACCGCTTCCGATAGGGCTTTCAAAGGCATTGCCCATTACCCTTAAAATATACTGAACTAAACTATACTGAACTGAGAATTTAATAAAATCTTATCTTCTTTTCCGTAAGGAAAAAATTATGCGATATGAATCTACATACATGTGCAGCTTTGACAGAGATTCTGTCAGCATGAGGTGAAAAGGTATGGTTATCTGTATGGTTTAAACCCAGGTCCTTTATGATGACCTATTCTGAGAGTGGGTTGTTCTTAAAAATTATGGAGCCAGGAAACTTGGCAGGACCAAAAGAAATGAAACTACACTTGGATGATGAAAACTCCATCTGTCATGTTAAACTCCATCTACTTAATCGCAGTAAGTCGGCATTATTTTTTTCAACACAAACATTTGCGACGTTCTTAGAATATGAGTAAACACACTTGAGGTCATCGGCATAAGTAAAAGTTTGCAAATTTCTGATTTTAGTTGAAATATCGCTGATGTAAAGAAGTAAGAGTTGCGGACCCAGAACAGTGCCTTGAAGTACGCCACTCGTGATCGAGTGAGGTGTCGAGTAGCTATTACCAACCAGGACTTTCTGATATCGGTTGGGTAGATAGGACCTCATGAAGTCGAGTGGGGCGGCCGGATGCCGAGAGCTTCCAATTTTACTAAAAGACGTCTATGGGGCACCTTGTCAAAGGCTATCAACTACCTCTCTCCGTTGATGAGGTTAGTAAGACGTAGTTCGTTAGTTCGCGGGAACGACATAACTTACGTCAGTCTCTCGTGAGTAAACCGTGTAGATGTGGCCGGTTCTGGCCTGTTCAGATGATGGTTATGCCGTATGACCCTTTACTGGTAGCCAATTCTAGTCCATGGTTTCCCGAATCTAGGCCAAACCCCAGCAACCGCACCGACCGACGGGGTAAGCGGTCGGATCTTATTCCGTAGCCGCACCTGCAGTAGACAAGCCCCAGTCGTCTGTCATACGGGACCGGAGGTAATGAGGGGTTGAAAACTAACCCCCAACCCTGGCCCCTGGCACTAACTCCTAGCCCTAGCCCCTAACAGGTGCGGCTACGAAATAAGCTCTTACCGGTTATCCCCAAGCACGGCAATTCTGCTCCTCCTCCTCCTCCTCCTCCTCCTCCTCCTCCTCCTCCCCCTCCTCCTCCTCCTCCTCCTTCTTCTTTCCTTTTTCTTCTACCTCTGATACACTTTAAAGTCCCACGAAGAGGGAGATATGCAGTTCCATAGGTGGCCTAAGATAACCCATGCCGTTCTTCCACTCAGCAAGGGCGTGATCAAAAATGAAGTTCGGCAGCCGTCTGGGATGCCTAAGCGGCCCTATTTAGGGTCATCACTGATAACCCCCTCGCTGGGCAAGGAGCCAAAAAAGTGCCCAAACAAATGCTGGGATCACGTCGTCTGCACGAAGATCGCGACTTGCATATGTACAACTTACAGTCGAAACAACCAAACAAACAATAACCTAAGTCCCAGTCCCCACCCCACCCCACAGGCAGCTAGAGTAAGTCCGCTCACTTTGGCGGTTTGGGATATTTGCTTCCTTTTAGACAATCCGAGAAGGAGTCAGATAGAACAAAGAACAGTGCGAGTGGCTCACGAAATAAGGCGCTACAAGGCGGACATTTCTGCTCCCGAAGAGACCTGCTTCTCCGAATAAGACCGTTTGGAGGAGGTGGATGACGGCTACTCATTCTTCTGGAGTGACCGTCCAAAGTCAGAGTGACGCGAGCTGGGTATTGTCTTTGCCATCCAAAAGGACATCATCGGACGACTGCTCTGCCTGCCCCAGGGAACCGACGACCGTTTCTTGACCCTGCACCCGCCCCTTCGAGGAGCCTAATTCGTTACCGTTGACGGCGTCTTCTCTCTTTCAGTGACCAACCCCGACGGGGTGAGGAGCAGGTTTTACAAAAACCTGTACGTGTTTCTGGCGACGGCTGGCGGATCGTCTCATTGTTGGCCACCAGAAAAGGATTTGACTGCAACCCCGCAGGAGGCCGCAAGTTAAGTCAAGTACTGTTCGGCTCAATTCGTATGTACACCGCTTAAATTTCAACAATTAAATAGTCCAACACCTGGAAGAACTGGCACCTCCGGACGACAATGCCGACTACGATGTCAACTTCGGAATGCCATCCACTCCACTGCCTTGGGCGTCTTCTTGAGAGCACTTTGCCAAAACCGGAATTGGTTCGAAGACAACGAAGCAGATATAAGCAGCACGTTATTCCCGACAAAGACAAGGGGGACTGGAATGGCCATTTCTGGCTTATTAGCCGTCGTCAGCCAGTCATACCCAGCCCCGAAGTGTGGAACACCAGAGGCTCAAGCTCGCGACCTGTTAATTAGAAGCAGAAGCAAAAGCAACAATCAGCAGATGTCAGCAACCTGGTTGTCGAAAAGGACAGGCTGCGCAGGCCTACACTGGCCGTCGTACCGATGAAAAAAGCAGCTTTCTTCAGATGTCGTCGCCTCGTGCAGCAGCGGCTGCGGGAGATGTAGGGCGCCAGGATGACTCCTAAGGCCGAGGAGATTCAGGAATATGCGGGCCGTAATGAAACAAAGAACTTCTTTGCAACCATCAGGACTGTCTATGGTCTCACCTTTAAAGGAACCGCACCGTTTCTCAGTTCCGATGGGACAACCTTTTCGACGGATAAACTACAGATTCTGAAGCGCTGGACCGAACACTTCGGAAACGTCCACAACCTCCGACCGGTTCCTCAAACGGAGGCTGATGCCGGCATGGACCGCCCGCCTTCCCTATCAGAACCCATCAAAAGCGTATAACAACTTTTGAGGTGAAAACACCGAGATCCGACACGCAGTCCCCGAATGATGATGAGACTCAGATTATTATTTTGGGAGATGTGGCGTTCTTCAGGATTTCGGAAACGCGACAATATTCCAAAGGGAAGCAAATAAATCTGCGTTAATCACAGAGGAATCACACCGCTCAGCATCGCCGGAAAGCTGTTCGCTCGCTTTCTCTTCCAGTGTTTCAGCGGCCATCTAGCGCAAGTACTGCTCCTGAAAAGCCAATGTGGCATCTGAAGGCACTGCAGAGCCACTGACATGATCTTCACCGCCCGCCGCCTACAGGAGGAGTGCTAGGAATTGTACATAAACTAGTACATGTATATCTGACGATGTTCTTTAACGCGGGGAGTCATGACGGGCTCTGGAAAATCATACAAAAATCCGGCTGTTCTGGACAATGCATGCACACGATGCGTCAACTTTACGACAGAACGATGTCGCGTGCCAGGGGAAATGGGACGGTCTCGTGCGCCTTTGCAGTGACCAACGTAGTGGCACAGCACAGCGTACTCGCCTCCACCGTCTTCAGTTTCCTGTGCTCTGCCACGCTGATAAAGTGATGAGCCCCCTGGGATCCGCATCTTTTACTAAACCGACACATGCAGGCCCCAACGCGTCTCTCGACGACTACTGCCCACGACTGCTTCCTTGCTGACTAATGCGCGCCGAACATTGCCAAAGAAGTGAATATGTAACGGAGCATGGATCTTTTAGCCGCCGGCTGTGAGCACCACGGAGTGACCATAAACACAGATAGAATGGTAATCATGCGTCAGCCATCGCGAAACACTGAATACAACGATCCTTGCATCACTGTCAACGGCAAATAAATCAAAACCGTGGACAAATTTTTCTATATAAACAGTAGGCTGTCATGCGACCGTAAAAGGTTCGATAAAGTTGCGCATCGGATCTTCAAAACTGGTCAGGTCTTTGGTGGGCTGTAGATCTCAGTGTGTGTTGAGTCTTAACACCAAACTCAAGATGTGCAGGGTGGCAGTCTTGGCAGAGTCATGCACCGTCTATGCCAATCAAGTCAGGAAACTCAGTCACTTCCACCTCAACTGCCTCCGAAGAATACTGAGGGTGAGGTATTAAGAAAGGATTCTGGACACAAAAATCCTCGAACGGACCGGAATCCTTACCACTCATGCTATGATGAAGCAACTTCAAATGCGTTGGAGCGGACACGTCGCGTGGATGGATGATGATCATTTACCCATGCGACTCTTCTGCGGCCATGGCGCCCGCTGATAAGGAGGACAAGAACGACACTATAAGGCCACTGCAAATCAACCCGAAGATCTGGAATCACCTCACCCAGGACAGACGATAAAGGCATTGAAGACTGGGGCAGCAGTCTATGAGGCCAACCGGACTGCCGCTTTCATATCCAAAAAGCGGCTGGAAAGTTTCAAGTACCTTTAACTTGCAATGTCAACACCCAAGCCCCACCACGTCGCCGCTGTCAACGAAAATTTGGCGTTGCGATCGCCTTATTGAAAATTTCCGGACCCAATTCGAAGACAACTTAATACGACCTTCAGTTGTTTTCTCAAACACCTCCATAATCACGACGTTTGCGACAGCGATCACCACCACCACCACCACCACCACCACCACCACCACCACCACCACCACCACCACCACCACCACCACCACCGAAGATCACACACCCGATGTCCGCCGCTGCCACCGTCGTCGTAGACCAACGTCGTTTCCATTATCCCGCCCGCGAAGACGTAAACGACGAGTACCACTCCTCACACTGCCCACCACCGCTGAGAGAACTCCCAGTTTCCCGATAGCCACCACAATCATCACCTCCACCACCACTGGCAATGCAGACTTGGTCCGAGCCTGCTCGCATTGCGACCGATTCCTTGCATCATGCATCGGCCTGGTCGGTCACCTGCGAATACATCGCACCGAAACCGGCGAACCACTTCCTGAAGCATCAACAGCTCAACTCAGCTGCCCGCCCTGACCACGCACATTTAATCACTTCCTGGGTTTGCTTGACCACATGCGACTGCATATAAATCTACAGAAAACCACAAGTCATCACATATTTCACTATCAACAAGCATCACACATGAACCCGCTCAACCGTCGTGACTGACAACGTACTCCGTGTTTTCCACAGCAGGGTGAGAGCAAGCACGGTGACTTGCGCGCGAACTAGTTTATAGTGATATTTGACTTGCGCAGCGTCTGCTGCGCTCTCTCTTCTTCCCCTACCTGAACGTGGTTCTTCTGAGCGCATAAAGTTGGCTTTCGTGACCTGATGGCGGCCGCTTCCGCTGTCGCTAAAACGTGCTGGCCTAGTAGCTTAGGGTAGCTCGATGGGATCTTATAAATCACACAAAAAGCTTCGTTGAGGTCCACACGATGTCCGGAATCGACAACATGCGCGAGGATGACGCTGCTTATGCTCCTAGTTTCGCCTTTTCCCAGCCATGCCGGGAGGTGTTCACGTAGTCTCTTGAATAAGCGCCGACTCGTGCGACCAACATAACGGCAGAATGACTCTTCCTTCATTCCCTACCTGAACCCAGTGTTAAGACACAGTAAAGAAGACCAGAGTGGGAGAAGGGACAGGTGGCTGGCACGGCCGGACCACCAATAATGCGTACTACTGCACCTCCTGGTCCAAAACCAACACCTGATCAGGATTTCAACCGATAACAAAAGGATGAGTTGCGAAAATTCCCATAGCAGTAATCAGAAGACGAGGTGGCGAGCATGCGTAGCTTTCGATAAAATATCGTCGGGCCAGTACATTTATATGGGAACGGGGTAGAAGTAAAACATGTCAGCGATAAGAGAAATCGATAAAAGTTCTCCTTAAAACACAGGCGGGGTATGGGAATGTCGGGGAGGGGGGGGGAGGGATAATAGCAGTCGGTGTCAGGGGCGGGGTGAGAGCGGAAGGGCGCGGAGAGTTGTAGCGTTAGTCGACCTTCGACCACTGTAGGCGCGGAGCCTGAACGTGATTCTTCTGTGCGCATAAAATTGGCCTTTGTAACCTGATGGCGGCCGCTTCCGCTGTCGCTAACAGTCGTTGGCCTAGTACCTTAGGGCAGCTCGATGGGACTTTATAAATCACACGAAAAGCTTCGTTGGGGTCCACACGATGTCCGGAATCGACAACATGCGCGAGGATGGCGCTGCTTATGCTCCTAGTTTCGCCTCTTCCCAGCCCTGCGGGGAGGTGTTCCCGTATTCGCTTGGATAATCGCCGACTCGTGCGACCAACATAACGGCAGGGATCCCAGTTGGCACGAGGTGAGCTAATAAGTAGTCCGGCAGCCACACCCAAAATGTTGGCATCTGGTATGGGTGTGCATGTCGAAAGTCGTGTGGTCGACAAGATAAAGATTCCCAATCAGAAGTCAGGGAAGACGGTTTGAGTTGGACAACCTTTACTGCCTGAGGAAGTGCGTACACAAGGGCTCTGTAGGCAGTCGTCGCGAGCGCGCTCCAAGCAAGCTGTTGTCTGTGTCCGCCTTCGAGGTGTTGTGTCAGCGCGTGTGCGCCCTTCGTTGTCTCCACGTCGCCAGCCAATCAGAGTGGGGACAGCGTTGATTGGCTTCGAGCACTCGCGCGGCCCAGGAGCGTATCGACATGGAGTGTGAGGCGGACAGGACGGCAGAGTGACAAAGGCGGAGGGCGAGGAGACGCGAACGGCCACATGCATTCCCGACAACGTCTGCCAGAATCCGATGTGGTCCCCGTGTTGGTCCAACGCATCTACTGCCACAGGCCTGGAACGGGCACCTCTCACGCAAGTTGAAGTGTGTTCTTCATGCGGCACCTCCAACACATGCGAGATATGAGTAGCCTACCTCCACTGCGCAAAACTGTATTTCGTTGAGCCACTTGCGCCCACTCCCCGTGTCAGATGGCTGACCGGCTCGGACAGCGAGCCGGTGCTAGGGAGGGGGAGGATAGGGTGGGGTAGACTTTGAGGACCGCGCCCCCCAGCGGCACTCGGTTCATACACCTCACTATAAAAAAATCTGACGTCTATGACACTCATAGGTATTTTGGCAGATTTCGAATAATTAATATTTACCCGAACGTGAAAACCTCGGCGCCTCAGTGGGAATCGAAACCACGCGGTAAGGAGAATGCTTTAGTACAGCCAACGCTCTAACAACTTGAGCTATGAGGCCTCGCCGGACGACTCGAGCTTAATCACATTTGGGTCAAGTTACCCACCCAACCTACTGCAACGTCTGGAATCCACCAAATCTGATATGGTAAGTTGACTGTCCAAGCAGGATTTCCTAAGTACTTCACCTAGAATCCACCAGATGACTACCAGGCTCACGTAATTCATAGGCATTTTAGCAGATTTGGAATAATTTATATTGACCCAACTGTGAAAAACCCAAATGTGATTAAACTCGCGTCGTCCGGCGGGGCCTCGTAGTTCAAGTGGTTAGAATGTTGGTTGTACTAAAGCCTTCCCCTTACTGCGTGGGTTCGAATCCCACCGAGACGCCGAGTTTTTCACAATTGGGTCAATATGAATTCTATGACACTCTCACTCTGTTGGAAGCTGAGCCGTTCATCCGTTGTTCGAGCGAAATCCTGGTTCAGCTTACTAGTATAGTTGGTGGGGTATATTTGAATACTTATCATCCGGGATTTTCATGACGGCGTCTGGAAGACGAAAATCGATGACTACGGTAATACATGCTAGGGTTATAGTTGGGGTTAATTTTTAGGTGCTGTCTTTGGACGCCCTAACCATTCGGGCATTCCTAGCCTAATTCTGACTTGTAGCCTGCAGCGTCGCATTAGCATACAAATTACTGCTACTTAAACAGAATTAGTAGCGTAAATCGCACACAAATTATCGAGTGGTTTCCACTTTTTTTCGTCGATTTGCATGTGGTTATAACAGGGTGGCCAGGGGTTGCAGCCATTTACTGCATGCGGGGCTCCGCGCAGGCCGCTTTGGGATTCATGCGCTCTGTGGCAGTCCGCGCCTCCTTACTCTCCGCCACCTTGCCACGCTGCTCTCCTGTCCGCCTCACACTCCCTGTCGATCCGCTGCTGGGACGCGCAGGGCTTGTCACTAGCTTCGCGAAGCCTGAGGCTAGTCAACGCTGACCCTTGTCCGATTGGCTGGCGGCCTCTGAGACAGGGTGGAAGGTGCATAAACTTTCTGGGGCCGAAGGACCTCGACGGCGGACACAGACTACGCAACTTGCTTGGAGAGACCGCCCGTGGCGACTGCTTGCAGAGCCTTTATGTACGCACTTCCTCAGCAGTAAAAGTTGTCGAACCCAGTCCGTCTCTCCTGACTACTCATTTAGGGACCTTTGTCCTGTAGACCATACGGTCCCGATAATTGGTGACTCTTTGCGAACAGCAATCTTCTTTCTTCCCAACGACGAAGTCAGCCATTGACCGTGGACAGTTTTCCGCCGGAAGGCAAACATATTTTGCACCCGCTTTTGGCATTCTTTCGGCCCTACAACTTAGAGGGAGGAACGGCTTATGGAGATGTACGGTCTCTCTTAACCGTCACTTTCAGCACTCTCAACTCCCTCGACTCCTCCCGCGTCTCCCCTTTTGCAGTTGGAGATCGCGCTTACCGAGCGGGCCGATGATAGAGCTTCTCTCCAGAAGCAGACAGCTTTTCACTCATCTCGGAGCCAAATAAGTCCTCCATCCCGCATGTCCAGTCTGCACATTCAGCCCATTTCAACACAGTCGCCGCCGCCGCCGCCGGCAGGTGCTAAAGCTCTTCGCTGCATCTCTCCCTGCTCCTTCACCTCCATGGAGAGCAAACGGGTAAAACGGATCCGCCCGAAGGTCAGTGCAGCCAATCTTCCTGGCAGCTCTAATCCTGGTTGCACATTTTACGTTCGAGACACCCGGAATGACAGGCGTTTCTTGGTTGACACCGGTGCGCAGCAAAGTGTCATTACACCCATGCCAGCTGATCGTCGGTGCCCCAATTCCGACTTTTTCTTCGGGTTGTCAACACTTCGCCCATCACCACCTTCTCTGGACATCGACCTCTGACGTCTTTTCCCCTGGGTCTTCACAGTTGCTGACATTCCCTGTGTCATTCTCGATGCAGACGTTCTCACCGCTTCTAATGTTCTGGTCGACTGCCTTCATTCCCATCTTCACGACAAGACCGCCAACCTCACCCTCCGCGGTATCTCTTCTTTTGACGCGTCCCGTCAACTCACCGTGTTTTGGATCCTGAAACCGAGAATCCATTCCGGAAACTCCTCGCCATATACCCGGTCTCACTAGTCCCAACTTCGGCAATCCTATTTCACCACACGACGTTGTTCACCACATCCGGACCACTGGCCCTCCCGTGCTTTCTCGGCCCCGCCGTTTCGCGTCCGCACGACTTTCTGAGGCCAATGCCAAGTTCGAGCACATGTTTCAAATGGGCATCATCCCTCAGTCTGAAAGCACGTGGGTCTCGCCCCTCCACATGGTCCCAAAGGCCACCACTGGTGACAGGCGCCCCTGAACAAGGTTACTGTTCCGTACCGCTACCCTGCCCCACATCTTCAGGATTTTGCCGGTGCCCTATTCGGCAAATCGGTGTTCTCGAAGATCGACCTGGTGCGTGTGTTGCGCTACAGTCCCATCGGCCTAGAGGACGTTTCAAAACGGCCGTCACCACCCCCTTTGGTCTCTTTGAGTTCCTGCGCATGCCGTTTGGACTCTGCAATGCCTCCCAGACCTTTCGGAAGTTCGTAGATAGAGTGCCTCGCAGCCTACCATTTGTCTACTCCTACATGGATGAGCTTTTAGTAGTTATTTCCACCGCCGAAGAATACATGGAGTATCCTGAAACGATGTTCGACCCCCTTCAACAGTTTAGCGCTGTTCTCAACCCTTCCCAGTACAGCTTCGGTGTGCCCTCCTTCGAATTTCTTGGACATCTCGTTGACTCCAACGGCATCCATCCTCCTGCATAGAAGATTGCGGCTATACGTGATTTTCCAACTGTCTCATCCAAACGTCAGCAGCAGCGACTTCTAGGTCTGGTGAATTTCTACCGCCGGTTCCTCCTGCACTGTGCCGACACTATCCTGCCACTCACGAGCCTCCTCCCGGGTCTCAAAGGTTCGTTCGAGCTGTTTGTAGACGCATTCGCTGCTTTCGACAAGGTGAAGTCTGTCGTAGCGACGCCACCATCCTGACGCACTTTTCTCCCGATGCACCCATCTCCCTCATGGCTGATGCCTCCAATGTTGGAGTAGGCGCGGATCTCCAACGACACCTTGCAGGTCACACCCAACCACTAGTTTTCTTCTCCAGGAAGTTTGCACCTACCGAGACGCATTACAGCACATTTGCAATGGAGCTTCAGGCGAGCCCATGAAGCAGATAGCCAATGTGTCTCTCCATTTGTGTAGTCGCTTGTAGTTTGAAGCTAAAAACGTGGCTTATAAAGTCGCCACATGACGGAATAACTCAATTCTCACGTTTTATTTGAGCCTGGTGAGTAAGGGAGGAGAAAGTGCGAGAGATGCTACGCACGTCGGTCTCACTATGAACTACTTCCAACGCAAGCCGACAGAATAAGTCGACTGCGTAGGCGTCATCATTTGCGACGATTGAACTGTCAATTCGGCTCAGTAGCACGTACTGTGGCGCGCGTGAGCCGATGTTCCATGATTCACTCTTGCTCCTGAGGCACAGTGATCTTGGAAAAAGTGAAGCTAACGCCCCACATGACTGCCTATAGATGCGATCGGACGATTTCCAGGAAGCAGTTCAGATTTCGGCGTGATCGTTCGAGTTATGGTTCTCGGTTCTCGGTCGATAAGCAAGCATAATGACCTCCCGACTTCATACTCGGTTCTGAAATTTCGCCTGTGTAGTCATCAGTTATGCCGAAGGACGCGCATGACCGACAGTTACACTGACAGCGAGCCAAATTGCCGGTTAATTATCATGCAAAAAATCCAAAATGATGATTAAATTTCGACTCATGCGGGGACCAACAAGTAATCATCGCATCAACTATGACACCCGGCGATGAATGCGGGAGTTGCTAATTGCAGAAGCATGTGGTTGCTTAGTCTCTCTGGAGAATCGAAATGTCTACCTAATGCAACCTCTTGTTCTAGTAATCTCATCTTCTTCCCTGCAAGACTTTCTTCTCTCATCCATAATGCGATTGCTATGCAATTCACTAGGGCATCTGCGGTAGCAGAGATTACCGTCAAACTTGAGGAAACAACTGTTTAGTGGCATCAACATCTAACCAGGTAAAAGAGGAAAATAAGCAATTAAGCATGCAAATGGGATGATGTGTGCATGACCTTGGAATTGATCTAAAGAAAAAAAGCAAGATCTAACTAATGCGATCACCGAAACAAGAAATTTTATTCGTCTGACGTTTCGAATTCTCACTTAATCCCATCATTAGAGACGGTTGCAGATGTAGAAAGTTTTAAAAAGCTAGTCGAAGCGCCGCCCATCTTGCAGAAACTTCTAGAAGGCGAATCCCTAGCCCTATAGGAGCGCGCGCGCATACTTATACGATAGGTACTTAGTCACAATTTGCTTTCTTATAAAAAGTTTATAAATAATAAATAGATACAGACATAAATTAATGAGAATACCTCTAGCTTAAGTTTGTTTATCTTCTACCCCTAAACCTATTCCCAACCAATCACAAGGGCGGATTCAAACCCAATGTTTGCAGTAGTTACAAAAACGGGAGAGGATTGACCCCCGAGGACCCCGGGCAAACGGCCACTCTTCGAACGTGGAGCCCCCGCCGTCGTCCTCGCTGGACATCCGCCAACTCCCCATGGACAATCACCCGAACCCAGTTTATTTTTGTATTTAGACTCCCCTTTTAGTTTCCCTTTGTACATAGGTCGTTGTAAATCGTGTGGTACCGACAAAGACAAGGGAGACCGGAATGGCCATTTCTGGCTTATTAGCCGTCATCAGCCAGTCATACCCAACCCCAAGTGTGGATCATTTGAGATTCGAACCCGGGACCTTTGGTCATGGAGTTTGACGCTCTACCATTGAGCCACGGGCCCGTTGTCCTGTCGGTTGTGATCGGGAATATTAATTATGATAGTGGGCGCTCACCGATCAGGTTACGGAACATGCTCGTTCCGTTGTGTCTTGGGGCTCATACTAGAACCCTCGCAGGCAGTCGCACAGCGACTAGTAGAATGATGTAAATACAAAAATAAACTGGGTTCGGGTGAGAGCGAATTCATTTCTTTTCGAAGTAACACACTTTCGAGTGCAACCCTAAAGAGTCATGTCCCAGACACGCAAATCCATATCTTGCACTCAATAATTTCTGGCCATGCACACACTGGACACTGGGCACAAATTTGCATGGCAAAACACTCGCATTGTTGGCGCCTGCCCAATGAGGAAAGAACGCCGATTTCGGGATTCATCGCCGAGGCAGTCCTGCAACGGTTAGTCGCTGGTCTTCCAACACCACAGACCTAAGTTCTGGGTCCGGTATGTGGATGATACCCTCTGCGTTATCGACCGAGATCAACTGCTGACATTCAAGGAACATCTGAATGCGGTCCTCCCGGATATATAATTTACGATGGAGGAGGAAGAGAACAACCAGGTGGCCTTCCTGGATGTCATCCTATGCCGCAAAGATCGTGGTGGACTTAAGACCAAAGTGTTCAGGAAAACAACAAATACGATGCTAATACCAAACTGAAACAGCAACCACCAAATCAGCCACAAACGCAGTTGTGTAGGGAAGCTCCATCGGCGTGTCCAAACGCACTGCAGTGGGCCAGAAGATAAGATTGCCAAACTACAATAGCTTCGACAAGTCTTCAACGCCAATGGCTACCCTCGCAACTTCGTCAACCGGTACATACGCAAAAGGGACGAAAGGCCTAACCGTTTTGGAAGCTGTCGGTCGTCTTCTCGCATCACTTGGGGTTAGTTGCACACAGACGGGAGGCAACCACCATGTTCAGGTAGTTAAACCGAACGACCCGCTGCCACGGCAAGAAACGTCTGGAGTCGTTTATCAGATCTGGTGCAGTTGTGGACAAAGTAACTATGTCGAAGAAACCGGAAGACAGCTCCGAACGCGAATGGCCGAACACGCCGCAGCGGTGCAGAGAAATGACGCCAGCTCTCAAGTTGCGGCTCATTCGACGAGATCCGGCCACACATTCAAGTTCGACGAGGCCGAAATTCTCGCAAGAGGTGGCAACCGCGTGAGCCGGGAGCTGCTTGAGCCATGGTTTACTGGTCTCCAGTACATTAACAAGTGTATTGACCTTCCCCTTCCGTACTCAGTGCTGAGACTTCGCCTAGGTGGAGTAATTGGCCGCGCGGGAAACACACACCTGAACACTTTTACCAACGCCAGGATCGGTGGATCAGATGGTCGAGCAATCATCAAATCAACATCCAACACAAACGATGGAATTGTAACGATTAACGAAGTGCATGTCGGCCACCAAACAGTCAACACACCAAGTGCAACGATCCCTGATGCATGGGGGAGGGGGGTTGGCAGCCGTGAATATTCATAGGCATGCGGTAGCATGAAGACTACGTCCTATAAATACTGTAGCCCCTTGTGCATGAACCACCCCTATCTGCTTTTGTCTCTGATGATGGGTTCGAGCAGGAATCCGAAACGTCAGGAGAATAAAGCTCTTGTCCCAGCGATCGTATCTCCCTCTTCGAGGCTGCTTCCTGGGACTCGTCTCTTCGCTTCAATTGATAAGTGAATCTCTGATTTGGCGGGGACGATTGTAGGGCACTAACGATAATGTCGGCTTAGCTTACAGTGGGGCACCCAGGCCTACCACAACAGGTATGGCAGTTGTGACTCCGTGCATGCACTGACTAACAATTGATCTTCGGTGAGCTTCTCTGTGTATGTGCATTCTCCCCACTGCCTGTCGTGCTAACTTATTATCCCGATAAAATTCTATCTCATTTACTATTGTTCCATTTGTAGTTTTAGTTCAGATACGTCAGATGTACGATGAAAATGATACTCGTTCATTCCGCCTCTACCATTCCAGTTCGCTCGTGCTGCCTCACTCGCGTGATTGTGGTCATTATTCATCATACAACTCGGTAATGGATCGAGAACAATTTGCTGTACATCCAAATGTTTCAATGGAACCACAAGTTCCGACGTTTGAGAATTTCATGGTTACGATCGAAAGTCTGCAACCGAGCAAATAAAGGGTTTAGTTCAAATAATTTCATCCTGCCGGGGCTGGGGCCGTCGAGGGGCGTGACTGGTTTCCAATCAGAACCTGCACCGAACAACGCCTACTTCAGCAGGTGTTGTAGGCAGCTTTGGATAGTAAAAATACACCGGTCATGCGCCCATTCCTCGTGTGGCTGCTTCTCCAACAGTTTGGAAATGGATTAATGAATGCTCCAGTTACGAGGACGTTGGTAGATTGCTGTAGACCTCTGCTCATGACGTAAAGACGAAATCTTCACCCGCCATCTTCTAGCGACCCGCAGACAAGAAGGCGGACCAAACGTCGACTAGTTCGCCGAAAAGTTGAAGTTTTTAACTAGAGTGTGATCTCAAAGTTGTCGCAGCAGAACAGAATCGTGATGATACCATCAAAGACGCCTTCAATAAACCAGATTCGATAGAGACTGTTGGAGCAGAAGACTTTGAACTTTCAAACTGATTTTGGCCAGACAGTCACTGGAATTGGCAGAAACGCGGTAGTTTGCCAGAACCTTATTCTCTGCCGCTGCTCAGGCGTGTGAAACTCCATCCAGTCGTACTAAAAGACCTGAAGTAGTGGCTCCAAGTCCAGCCTATAAGAAAGATTACTTTTGTGGGTATGACAGGTAGCCTCGCTCGAAGTGTCCGGCACGCAATTTGGTGTGCGAATGATGTGTCAGAGGGGGGCACTTCCACAAAAGCCTGCCTGGCGTCAATAAACCGAAAAATTCTCCCTTCTACACACCCGACCGTTCCTGCCGTAGCGGGAGCTACTACTTCTGATCGTCCCTGAAGAGCAGCGATCGAAATACAGCTAAACGGAACTGACTGTCGGGCTCTACTACGCACCTCGTCCTAAGTAGTACTCTGAAATAATTGAAAAATTTATAGATCTCGCGCTAAGATATCCATGGGCACCACTGCTCTGAACAATGCCACGCAAAGACAAGCTATCGGTCTTACCGATTTTACGCGCCAATGTTCCATTCAGCCAAGACTTTCTTCGGCTATACAAAGGCGTCAAAGTTTCTTTTGAGGGACCTAAACCTACCTTCTTGGCGTGTTCTATGGCTTCTGCTTACATCGAGCCTCCTCGTTGGTTTACTAATCCAACACAGGACAGCAGGCCCATCACGACAAAATCTGGTAGGCACACTAACGTTGAGGGATCTATGCAAGAGTAATTGAGCTCCCCCCATCGCCTCAGCGAGCCCAATTGCCGGTGGTAGCCAAATAAAACCGCAAAGAGTGGATGGTTGTCGAGTATAGCCAGACAACCAACACACACTACTAGATGCCTACCCCTCACCCACGATAAATGGAATGACTAAATATACTCCAGACTACGACGCGTATAGCACTAATGATCTCAAGAGCGCCTATTACCGGATACCCTCGTAGGAAGAAGAAAGGGCATACGCTACTTCCGAGGCTTGTAAAGTTTGTATCAATTTGGTCAAACCCCATTTAGTGTGACCAACGGAGTTGCGTATTCCCAACTGGACTATTGACAATATAATTATGCGCGAACACCTGAGAGATATCTTCGTCTACGTGGATAGTGCCAGCATCTGTGGGAACGGCCTCATGTAGCATGATCTAGACCTTCAAAAATTCCTCAACGTGGCCGAAAGATGCGAACCAATCTCCGATGAAGCCAAAACTGTCATCGCTGCATCTAAAGCACAAAACTAAATCATCAAAGCCACCCAACCATTCGAACGATTATCAATCGACTTTAAAGGTCCAACTCGTCGGTGACCCGCAATCTCTATTTGCTGACGGCTGACGATGAATATTCCCGTTCCCCATTTGCATCTCCTGACCAGTCTGCCGAAACTGGCATCAGATGATTGTGCCAGTTCGTCTCCATATCCACACCGATCGGCCATTTTCATCTACATCAGACGACATTTAACAATTCCTTCGTGATAAGGGAGTGGCTACTCCATAAAATCCGCACGAGAACGAGCAGGTTTAGCGTTTGAACCAAACTTTGTGGGTGACTATTTTGCTTGCTCTGAAATCCCAAAGCTTGCCTGTAACGCACAAGCAATCCGTTCTCCTGAATTTCCCGCACTCATCAAGTGATGGGTTCAAGTGAGAATCCGAAACGTCTGGCGAATAAAACCCTTGTTTCACCGATCGCTTCTACTTCTTGTCAATTACCCTCAAGTGTTGCTGTCAGTGTTGATGGACTAGACGGTGAATTCTCATTTAGATGAATAAAATCAATATTCCGAATAAGTGTCCCCTGTTTCTCAATTGCTCCCTAGATTTCGTCTTTCCACTTGTATGAGCAATAATCAGCAGTCTTATTATTGGAGCACCATAGGTGTCGGAATAGCGAGAAAAGTGCTACGCAGGGTTTACTCTCTGCAATCCCCTTCATGTGCCTCAAGGAAGTCAATCCACGTTTGACCCGACGGACGGAACCCACCGTACGGATACGAGAAAATGGTAAAATTCTCCCCAGCCAACGGTCTAAAAAACAGCCCCTGCAGACCAGTTTGTAGGACACAGCCATTAAATGTTGGATTTTTAAAGGGCTTGACTGTTGCAGACTTTTAAACGGCAGAGCACATGAGGAAACGCGGCTAGACTGACGTACAACGCTTCACATTCCCTCAATTATGAACCGTTAGAGTGAAGGAGGCAACCACTGTTCAAAAATTGGTGTCCACGAAAGCGAAACTCAATTAGCGGGGCTTTGTATATGTACATAGTTAGTAAGAAAGGATTATGTAGATGGATTGACGGTTTCTGATCGTGTGCGTCCGCTGTACCACCTTCCACGAGGATTTGTAGCACCGCAGTGTGTGCAATCCTCCTGTTTGTTGCTGAAACCGAGAAAGACACCTGGGATAGTTTTGACACCCCCATCATGTAACGCATGGGCTCTTCTTTGTCGCCCCCAGCATCTGGCTGGAGGGGAGAGCAGGTGAGATGGCCCGCAAATTAAAAATCCAGAGCTTAAGGACGTTGTTGAAGAGGAGAATCTAACTAAGAGTCTGTACGAATTTATTTTCCTCTTTTCACTTTTTTGATCACATTTTTTGGAATCCTCATGACTGCGCTGCTTTGGCCCCTGAGATGTGAGATAAAACAAACGAAAAATTAGCTTACTTTGAGCTAGTGTTTGGGTGCTTTCCAAGTCTTCGAGACCGTTTCTTATTCTTCTTATTTTTGGTGTGCTTACCTAGCTGCCTTTCGAGGGTAGTCTTTTTGAAACGCTCCTATAGGTTAGCGTCAGATGATATCCGGAACGGTTAATGATGCGTGAATATTCGAGCAGTTATGGCTACCGCTGCGAAGTTCTTTCATTGCATCTAGATTTGCGAATGAACAAAGGCCCCCTGTCAACCCTATGAGCAGCAGTATCGTAACCCAGACACCCTACATAAAACGCACGCGCGTGTAACTGGCCCTTACAGCTCATTCTGAAGATTACTGAAGTCCGACAGGTGACCTGTAACTCTCTCGCTCATTTTGTGTATTCGCTCCTGATATGTGTCATCGGCTCCATTAGGATGCCGCTAAAGTTGTCCGCAGCATTTCATGCGAACTAAACATCATCAGGTATTCTTTCATGACGGGATCCCAATCATACTTGCGGAGCGGGTGTGACTTGTGAAAATCTGCCGACAAAATTATTTTGGTCATTTACTGGCTGCGTCAAAGAATCGTCTGAGCAGATCCTCACGCTCCATTTCCTTTCAAAGCAAAACGGCTTCTGAAGAGGTGCCTTGCTGCTATGATTCAGTAGTTTCGTTATTTCCCAAATATATTATCCACAAATAGGCAGTTGTCGGATATTCATCTAGAAGTCACGGCGGACGCAGTCGGACAGACTGCCGAATTTCGCAGGGAAGATGTGAATAAATGTGCCCTTCATCGATGAGCCCTTCAGATGCTACACCCACCAACCTTCCAGCTGGTCTCGAATCCATTCTACTGACCTCTGTCCTACCTGAAGACAAGCGCACTGACATACGCAGCTGTGCCACTGGACTTCAACAGCAACCACCCAATCACCCACAGACGCAGTTGTGTAAGGGCGCTATATCGGCATGTCGAAACGCACTGCAGTGGGCCAGACGACAAGATTGCCGAACTACGATGCCTTCGACGAGCCTTCAAAGCCAATGGCTCCCGCGCAACTACGTCAACTGGTGCATACGTAAAAGGGGTCAAACGGCCAAACCGCACGGACACAAAATTTTGGTGAGTGCTTCCGGATGTCAAGAACGTTTCGGAAGCTGTCGTCCGCCTTCTCGCGCCACTTGGGGTTGGAGTTGCACACAGACCGGAGGCAACCATCAGGCGTCAGGTGATGAAACCGAAAGACCCACTGCCACGGTAAGAAACGTCTGGAGTCGTTTATCAGATCTGCCGTAGCGGAGCTACTCCTCTCGGTCGCCCCTGAAGCGCAGCGATCGAAATACAGTTAAACGGAACTGACTGTCGGGCCCTACTAGGCACACCGTCCTAAGTAATAGTCCGGGATAATTGAAAAATTTATAGATCTCGCTTTAAGATATCCATGGGCGCCACTGTCCTGAACAATGCCACGCAAACACAAGCTATCGGTCTTACCAATTTTACGCGCCAATGTTCCACTCACCCAAGACTTTCTTCGGCTACACAAAGGCGTCAAAATTTCTTTTGAGGGACCTAAACCTACCTTCTGGACGTGTTCTATGGCTTCTGCTTACATCGAACATCCTCGCTTGTTTACTAGTGTAACACAGGACAGCAGGCCCATCACGACACACTAACGTTTATAAGGAGTCTATGCAAGAAAGTCATCGTCTTCTGCCTGAGAGAGTAATTGAGCTTCCCCTTATAGCCTTGGCGAGCCCAAATCCCGGTGGTAGCCAATGAAAACCATAAAAAGTGAGTGGTTGTCCATTATAGCCAGACGACCAACAAACACACTCCTAGATGCCTACCTCTCACCCAGGATATATGAAATGACTAAATATACTCCAGACTACAACACGTATAGCACTCTTGGTCTCAAGAGCGCCTATCACCAGATGGCCGTCACCACCCACTTTGGACTCTTTGAGTTCCTGCGCATACCGTTTGTACTCCGCAACGCCTCCCAGACATTCCAAAGGTTCGTAGACAGAGTGCCTCGCGGCCTACCACTTACCTACGCCTATATCGACAACCTTTTGGTAGCCGGCTCCACCACCGAAGAACACATGGAGCATCTGGCAACGGTGTTTGACCGCCTTCAACAATTTGGCGTTCTTCTCAACCAGTCCAAGTGCGTCTTCGGTGTGCCCTCCCTAGAACTTATCGGTCATCTGGTTGACTCCAACGGCATCCATCCACTTCAATCGGAGGTTGCGGCCATCCATGATTTCCCTCCCCCCTCTTCCAAACGTCAGTTGCAGTGATTTCTGGGTATGGTCAATTTCTACCGCCGGTTCCTCCCGCACTGTGCCGACATCATCCTGCCGCTCACGAGCCTCCTCTGGGGTACCAAAGGTTCGTTCGAGCTGTCTGCAGACGCCAGCACTGTTTTTGACAAGGCGAAGGCTGTCCTGGCCGGCGTCACACTCCTGACGCACTTTTCTCCCGATGTTCCCATCTCCCTCTTGGCTGACGCCTCCAATGTTGGAGTAGGCGCGGTTCTCCAACGGCACTTTGCAGGCCACACCCAACCCCTAGTTGTATTCTCCAGGAAGTTATCACCTGCGGAGACGCGCTATAGCACATTTGGACGGGAGCTCCTTGCTGTCTTCCTCGCTGTGAAACACTTCAGGCACTTCATTGGGGGCAGGGACTTCACTGATTTCACGGATCACAAGCCACTTGCGTTTGCTCTCAAGTCCATGTCTGATAAGCTCAACCACTGGGAAATTCGCCAACTGGACTACATCTCACAGTCTACCTCAGACATCCACCACATCGAGGGGTCATGCAATGAGGTGGCTGACGCACAGTCCAGGCCCTCCATCGCTCATCTCCAACTTTCTCCAGCGATCGACCTATCTGAGATGGCTGCCGAACAACGCCGTGTTGGTTTTCCCTGAAACAAGGACGTTTCCGGACTCCAACGCCAGGACCTGCCACTGACTCCTAACAACGGGCCCATTCTATGCGATGTCTCCACCATTTTACACCGTCCCTTTGTGCCGCCATCCCTCCACCGCAAAGTCTTCTGCTCCCTGCACAACCTTTCCCGCCCAGGGAGTCAAGCTACCGACAAGTTGGTTTCCGACCGCTTCGTCTGGCCTGGAATGCACAAGAACCTGAAAGCATGGACACGGGCGTGTCTCGGCTGTCAACGGAATAAGGTCCAATGTCAAAACAAAGCTCCCATTGGCACCTTCCCTACTCCGGACGCAGGGTTCAGTCATGTTCACCTGGACATCGTAGGTCCCCTGCCTCTGTCCAACGGTTGTTCCTATCTCCTCACCTGCGTGGATCGATTCACCCGGTAGCCGGAAGCTATTCCTCTGCCTGATGTCGCTGCTCCAACGGTCGTCAAGGCCTTTCTCATTCGATGGGTTGCCATCTTTGGTGCACCCTCCACAATCACGACTGACCGTGATGCCCAGTTTGAGTCTAACCTCTTCCAGTCTCTCCTCGCCATTTTAGGCTGTACTCGCATCCACACTACAACCTATCATTCGGAAGTCAACTTAGGCATCCCTACGCGCCGTAGACGATCCGGAGAACTGGACAGAACACCTTCCCCTGGTCCTGCTGAATATTCGCTCCGTTTCAAGTCGGACTGCCCTGCTGCTGAACTCGTGTTCGGTGTCACCGTCCGACTTCCCAGTCAGATGATCTCGCCAACCCCGCGAGTTGCAGTTGAGGATCCTATCAACCTCCTGCATCGCCTCCGGCAACTCATGCGGACACTTTCCCCGGTTCCCCCCAAAGACCGCCACTGGTGTCCGGCGGTCCTGACTGCGGTGATTACAGAATTCTGGACGACGTTACTGTCTCGGACCGCTACCCTCTCCCACATACTCAGGATTTTGTCGGTGCCCTATTCCACAAATCGGTGTTCTCGAAGATTGATCTGGTCCGTGCTTTCCACCAAATTTCCATCGTCCCGTAGGGCGTTTCTAAGATGGCCGTCACCACTCGCTTTGGCCTCTTTGAGTTCATGCGCATGCCTTTTGGACTCCGCAATGTCTCCCAGACCTTTAGGAGGTTCGTAGATAGAGTGCCGCGCAGCCTACCATTTGTCTACGCCTATATCGGCTACCTTTTAATAGCTACAGTAGGTGGGCTAACGCACGAAATGTCAACAGAAATTCCGAAATGAGTTTCCGTTTCGAAAAATTAATTAAGAAGGGTTGTAAAAGCAATCAGTCTGTAACATAATTCTATAATAATACAGTTACCCCAAGACGCCGGCTTTCGAACAAACTTCTTTTCGCCTGCATCCGAAAACATTACTCCGTTAAAAATGACAACATAAGTAGCATGCAGTTTTTCATTGATATTTTATGCCCTTAAAGATTCAACTATATACCATGGAAAACATGCATAAAAATATTCACTTTTTGCTCATTCGGTAGAAAATTTTGTTTTCTTCGGGCTTTATACTCAAAGAAAGGGTTTATTTCGGTTTTCAAAAAGTTTCTAATTGTGTGATTTTTTAATACCGTGAAATGGCCCTTCATAAAACGTCATGTCTCTGCATTTACCAATGTGGCTTGTAAAGTTAACAATGTGGCTCAAATCCACTGCTTAATTTTATGAACCCTATATGGTCTTCGCGTAATACGGCGGAAAAATATATGGTTTTCCGTACGCGGAAATTAGACGGCTTATAGTTTGGAAACCCTGAATGTGAGTGTAACGGTAGGTCGGATACAAAATTATTCGGGAATTGGAAGAGTTTTATAAAACCGAATCATACTTCCATGCAAGACTTTCTTCTCTCATCCATAATGCGATTGCTGTGAAACTCACTAGGGCTTCTGCGGTAGCAGAGGTTATCGTCGAACTTGAGTAACCAACTGTTCATTGGCGTCAACAGCTAACTAGGTAAAGGAATAAAGTAAGCTATTAAGCATGCAAATGAGATAATGCGTGCATGACCTTTAACTTGATCTAGGGAAAAAAGCAGGATCCAACTAATGCGGTCACTGGAACAAGAAATTTATTGGCCTGACGTCTCGAATTCTCCCTCAAACCCATCATCAGAGACGGTTGCAGATGTAGAAAGCTCTAAAAAGATAGTTGAAGTGCCGCCCATCTTGCAGAAAGTTCTAGAAGGCGAACTCCTAGCCCTATAGGAACGCGCGTGTATTTATACGACAGGTACGTAGTCACAATTTGGCTTCTTATAAAAAGTTTATAAATAATAAATAATTCATATTGAACCAACTGTGAAAAACTCGGCGCCTCGGTGGGATTTGAACACACGCAGTAAGGGGAAGGCTTTAGTACGGCTAACACCTTAACCACTTGAGCTACGAGGCCCCGCTGGACAACGCGAGTTTAATCACATTTGGGTCAAGTTACCCGCCCAACCTACTGCAACGTCTGGAATCCACCAAAGCTGATACAGTAAATTGACTGCTCAAGTTTGTTTAACTTCTCCTCCTGAACCTATTCCCAAACAATGAAAACGGCGGGTTCAAATTCAACGCTTGGAGTAGTTTTCAGAAAGAGAGAGGACTGACCCCCGAGGACCCCGGTCAAGCTGCCGTTCTTAGGACGTTGAACCCCTGCCGTCGCCCCCGCTGGACATTCGTGTTTTCCGCCAACTCCCCATGGACAATCACCCTGATTCAGTTTATTTTTGTAATTAGGCTCCCCTTTTAGTTTCCTTTTGTACATAGGTCGTTGAGTACATTGTAACCGCTAAAAGTCCTTCTTTCCTTGGTTCGCTCCTGCACTGACATTCGGGTTCAACCGTCTCAGATGATGGGTTCGAGTGAGATTTCGAAACGTCAGGTCAATTAATTTCTTGTTCCAACGATCGCATCTTCTTCTTCTAATGCATGTTTCTGCAGGGCAGCTCAGAAAGAGGGAGAGGGGTGGGGGAAAAAGGCGGAAATGGTTCATGAATAAGTGAGTCACCAGAAAGTTACAAAGAAAAAACGACTTCATAAACTTACGGGCATGCCGAGGAGCGACGGACTAAGGCACGCTCTGAGATCGAGATCGCGTCTATACCGCGATCAAGTTGCGAAGTCTACGCGCACGCGCGCCCTTAAGCCCATGCTAGGCGTTTGCAAACGTGACTCACATGACTTGTTTCCATCGTTCTACCAAATCGACCTTCATGTCAAGGTCACAGATCAAGGACGAAAAACGTCTGCGGACCAGACGGAAGAAAGTGGTCGGCGCTGAACAAGCGACAACAACGGCTTCTAGCCAGTGCAGCCTTATTCAGTAAACTCTCGGACTCTCGATAGACCATTCGCCACCCTAGCTACGCCTACTACCGCCCAATCGAATTCCCTGCATGCTGCAAGCGACCAATCAGGATCTGTATGGGTCATTAATGCGTACGTGCGTGCGACGCCACATGCTTTGGTACTATAAAAGTCAGCGTTGATGGGACTCATGTCAGCTCTTCGCTACTCCTCTGGTCACTGGCCGAGATGACGCTGCCACAGTCACAATTGTTCGAAGACGAATTCCCCCTGATTCGAAGCTGTCCGGAACTGAACGAAATCCGCATTGCAGGAGAAATTAAGGATATCACTGTAGAGGTAAATGCCCTTGCTGTTACCGCCCTTTACACCGACATTTGGGTGTTTTAGGTGAAGGACGGCCATCTGCTTCAGGCTCACAGAATAATTCTAGCAGCTCGCATTCCGTCCCTCCGAGTTGCTCTCAGTGGCCGCCTTGGAGAGGAGCACTCCGTTCTGAGATGGCCAGGCGTGCCCCATTGGTAAGTGTCTCGTCCGTTCTTTGATTTCGTTTACTGCTAATGCCCCTTCAAGTGTTGCAATTGCGTTCGTACAATACGCGTACACGGGGCGGTTGGAGATAACCCAAGAGAATGCAAGAGGTATGGTTGCGCTTGCAAGGATGATGAAGCTCCCTGTCCTCGAGCAATGGAGTGTGACATTTATGGCCGACAGGTACAAGTATTTGGTGAATATGACTGGCCAATTGTTCACTCTAAAGGCTCAGTGTAGAAAATCTGGCGATCACATGGGACTTTGCCAAATCTCTGAATGTGGAATTACTGATGAACAGATGTATCAGTCTGATGAGGGAACGCTTTTCAGGTTTCGTATCTAGCGACCTGTTTGTTCACTTGCCAGCCGAGACTGTCCTGGGTTTGCTTCGAAGCGACAATCTGGCAGTGGAGTCTGAGGAAGAAGTCATTGAAGCCATTGCACGTTGGGTGGGTCCTGACACAGAGGCCGGCGATGAGAAATTGAAGTTGCACGCACCGGCAATGCTAAGGGAGGTGCAATGGCACCAGACGACTGCCGATTGCCGCGATCGCCTAATGGAGACTTATCCAGCATTCCACAGAAGCCCGGAATGTGCGTAAGTATGCCTGTGTCATTCACCGTGTTTATTTTTATGTGGAAGTCAACTCATGGATCAGATTGGGGATTGGATGAGCGTTGCGGACAAAGACAGGCCACTGTGTCCCTTCAACGTAAGATGCCGTCAGAGGGGAATCGAAGGAGAGGGCGGAACCGGAGAAGTCAGGTGCGGCCCTGGCTGGCAAATAAATAAACAAGTTACTGATGTGAGTGGCGAGTTGCCTGATATACCTCAAACATTCTTCCTCTTTGGAAAAGAAAAAGACACCGATCTATGGTCTGTTTACCGTTTTGATGAGCACCTACAAGAGGCAGAACGAGTTGCAGACATGGAGTCCCGCTGGACCGCCTCCTACAGGGCCGTTGACGGTGAGTCATCCGAAACTTTTACGCCCACTTGGGCGCATTCTTCGGCAAGATCCCATTTCGTAGCCGTACCTGTAAGGGATTAGGTGTTAGAGTGGCTTGTCTAATGCAGGTACGGATAAGAGATAAGATCCGGCCCATTCTTCAGTCGGATTCCCATAGTTTATGCTGTATATTGCAGAATTATATCACAGTCGTCTCCCAGCATGGACGCCATCACAATTCATGCGATTGTAGGAGCTGTTTCCTCTGTTTTGAAAAATTAAAATATGCTATGCTGTTAGCAAACTCAGCGTTTTGTTGTGACGACGCCTGCATTTTTGTCTACCAATCTCACGGTCATTTAGAACCTTATGGCCAGCACCTCATACAGACACACGGGTAAGCATCCAGTTGTGGCCCTCACGTATTTATGACGTATAAATACTGCCTACTCTACATATTTAAGTAGG